GATGTAGAAATAGACGTGAACATAGTAAAAAATATATATATAATGGTAAACTTTCTCTGTTTAAAATCTACTAATTAATGAAGGATCTCAGTTTCCGAAAATCTAATGGCTGATTTTTTTTTTTATAATCTAAAAACTTTCAATTTTAAGGCGTTTTTTCACATGCAAATGAGGCATACCTGATCCAAAATGCCAAAAGTAAAAATCATTTCCTGTTTTGCCACACTTGACCCTAGCCGATTTCAGTTGCTCATATTTACCGGTAGAAGTCTTATCATGGCGGTCTTGTAACCTGCCACTTTTAGTATCCACTGAGATCAGTAAGATTGTACGTATCGTAAACAACATCATTTGTCCATCCATTTTAGGGACGAAAAAACTGGCAAATCAACTCGAGGAGATAAAGATCCAAAACAAGAGAGGATCGTTTCAATTGTTGGTTTTCACATGACGTCACTAAAATTCAAACTACAAAACTATCGATCCCACTGAGATTTTACTTTCATGGTGTATTAGAGCAGCTGAAAGCTAATTTTCAAACAAATTTTCGCTTCAAAAGGGTTCTTGCTTTTGAAATAGAGTACGCTTGAATTTCTAAGCTTTTGCGTGACGCAGCATTTACATGACGGCCGAGAAGGCTGTCTTTTAGGTTAAAAAAGTGACTTCTTTCGAGGAATTTTGCTATCTATTTATTTATTTATTTATTTTATTTTATTTGCCACACAATAATCACAAAAAATAAGGAAAAGAAGGAAAAAAGAAGTGGCGAGGAGACCTAACAGAAACTATAGGAGCTTATGAGAGGTTAGGCCTCCTCGAACTATGAACTAAACAGTTCTTAACAGTTCAAGTATTAGAAAAAGTATTACTTTAATGTTTATGAGTTCTTCTAGGAGTAAATTCACGCTTTTGTAGCAAAACTCGGTAACAGATGTTTCTGTTGGTTTCCGTCCGCCATGTTGGAGCTCATCCGGATGAGCTCCAGCATNTTCAAGTATTAGAAAAAGTATTACTTTAATGTTTATGAGTTCTTCTAGGAGTAAATTCACGCTTTTGTAGCAAAACTCGGTAACAGATGTTTCTGTTGGTTTCCGTCCGCCATGTTGGAGCTCATCCGGATGAGCTCCAGCATGGCATCTCCATACAAAGCTCTATAAATTTGGGTAAAACATTTCCTCGGACATCTTGTATACGAATTATTCCTTCGACCCAAATCTTGGCGCGGGTCTTTGTATATTTACCTTTTTTCATTTCCCAGATTCTGGACTTTATCTGTCGAATGGTTTTGATTTTTATTTTGATCTACTTTGAATGGCGTGACACTGAAAACCAGCAATAAGCTAAGATAAGGTGCATATGTTTGGCTAGAGTTTTAAAGTTTCCGTCAAAAATCGTTGGGTTAAACACAACATTACTAGATGTATTACCGCGGGTCACCAAAGCCTACAAAATGATATTTGCTAGCAGCTGAACAGTAGGAAAAAGATAGTCTATATTTACAGGAATATAAGTATATGTGATGTTCTACTCTTCAACCCGCTTTACCAAGGCACAGACCAGAGAGAATGATTGGCACGAAAGGTTCCTGTGCGAGGTGCGGCCCCCACCCAGGCCAATCCCACAGCACATCAAAGTTAAACAAGTGTAAATCAGTAACCAAAAGGTTAAACGGACGAAAACTCTTTTTTTGTTGTTTTAGAAGCAGCAGTGGAACGAATAAGCATTTTTTCCGATAAAGAATAGGTACATAATTGCAAGGGAATGGGCTCCTGATAATTGTTCGTAGTCATAGAGGGATGAAATTAAGCCTCGTAGGTGGATAGCTAAGGATAGTTTAGGGATAGTCGCTTTAGGGATAGTCTATGACGTCACCCATTGTTTTAACCCAGAGAAAACACGAAAGAAACTACTACAGGGAAACTACTCTCCACTAGACTATCCTCTGCATTTGACGCGGTGATCTAGACGCATGGTTGACAACAAACAAATAGCAAACTTCAGCTTTCAAGTTCTCAGCCCCAAATGTTAACCTTTTTTGTCGACTTAAAAAGAATTTCAATTAGTAGACAACATTAAAAAATTGTCAATATCAAACTTAGCTTTCCCAGCGCACTCGCCACAGGTAACAATGCCCTTTGTTATATTCCTAGACTTTCACTCAACTAAACAGGGACAGCCATTGGCTGATTCTTGGTCACGTGGCCTTGACTAAAATCAAATGTATCCCGATCGTGATACATCAAGCAATGTACCCTGCTCGGGATACATTACAGCACGTGATCAGAGCATGGTAGAAAGTGGCGTGACAAAAGGTGGGAAAAACACTGCCAGTTTTCTTTTTTGTGAATGAACACAACAACACAAACACAAAGCCTCAAGCTAAAAAGCAACGATTTTCAAAGTTATCCCAGAAGAGAAACAGCAGCTAGTGGAGGAAGATGCAGATAATATAAGGAAAGTACTTTTTAAATCATTCATTCAGTGGTTTGGAGAATTAAATTTATGTTCTTATAAGTACCGAGTCGTACTGTTTTGATTCGCTCCTATTAAGCGTATTCTTTTGTTGCTGTTGAAGTACGTTGAAGTGAAAGTCTAGAAATATAACAAAACACTTAATGACATTAAGTGTATAAAAGTTTTTCTGTTATAAGGAGATCGAAGCAAAGATAAACCGAGGGACTTTTACTAAAGCAGGGTAACAATTTCGATGAACTTAAGTTGCATGAACTAAAGTTAAATTCAATTTCCTCTGTTACAAGCATACGCTCGAGACCAAATTACAAGACCTCGAGAAGATGTTGAACTCTACACGACTGGTTGCAGAAGAAGCGTCTTGGAAACATTTGACGGCGCTGTGGTCCGCAGAGAATAATACAAAGAAAGAAATTGACAAGGTGTGGACTGCGATGGACGAAACAGGAAAACAGCTTGACGAGAAACTAGTGAAAATACGACACAACCTTACTGGACAGGTAATTGAACCTTTGTAAAGTTACGACTCATAACGTCCCGCTGCGTCAGCACAAGCAATTTTTTTCATCGGCGGATCAATGGCTAAAGTTATGGTTTATTAGGTAAAACTTGGCAAATCTTTATTCTGTACCAGTCCTTCTGTCATAGTAAAGAGAATGGCACTAAATCAAACTTCGGCAATAAAAAGTAATTTTGATCACGTGATTTGTCGTGTGACCAAAAGGTAGAAGAATACTTCAAGATTTTCATTCAGGGAAAAATTTTACTCTGCTGCTCTACTTGAGATGAGCTAAAGAATAATGTTATCGATAAATTAAATTTTTCGTACATATACTATTTTGGAATACACCAGTTAATAACGAACATTCAGATAATCCAGCTGTGTAGTGTGCTTCATCACATGAAGCAGTATAGGAGGGTCTCAATGGGGTGGTGGATTTTACGGTTATCGGCTAAAATTTTGGCTCTTTTACGGCTATCGGTTAATTTTTTTCAGTTACGGTTAACGAAAAAGTTAAAAATTAACTTATTTTGTTTCAAAAAGTTAAATATTAATTAACCTGTATTTTTTTGAATAAGAGTCTTCGGATCATCTCGGGATGAAATAAGCTATTCTTTTGAACAATTTTAACATTTGGTAGATTATACTTTTTATAAAGTATACCACTTCTAATATTATTTTACACTTAGAAATGTCAATAGTCAATTTAAAAATGATCTTTATGAAAAAGCAAAAGCACACACACGAACGCCCAACTCAAGGCCGGGGCGCGACATTCATTATAACAGAAATGGCCGTTTTCACACTAGAGAAGGATTATTCGTGTGAGACGGGTTATCCGTTTGATGATTCGCGTCAGATAGGTAATACGCCTTAATTTGAAAATGTTTTAATTTTGAATGAACAATCCGCCTGACTTTTGAAGACGGGATTATCCGTTCCAGATGGCCTGTGTACAGCCACCCCCTCCCCTCAGAAAAAATCGGAGATGGGGTGTCTGTGGGGAGGACGCGACTACACAGGCTAGTCTCAGACGGATGATCCATTTCTAGCTCTAGTGTGAAAACGGCCAATAACAAAATTCCCGTGTCCAGTGTTTTTCATGATAGCGAAGGACTGTACGGAACGACTGTCTGCCGTTGCCTTGTCCGTAGGCCGCATTAGTCTGCGCGACTAATGCGTTTCGGGTCACGTGGTCCCGAGATTGCGTGGGAAGACGCCGTACAGGGACTAGGCATGGTAATGTCTACCGCAGCGTCAGAGAAAAACAGGGAAATGTTGTTTATCGGCAACGTGTTTTACAAACAGTGACATCTCTGCGTGTTGTTTCACACGCACGACCTCCGGAAAGAAGCCACACTTTCGCTATGGAAAAAATTAGTTCCCCGATAGAGCGCCGGATGGAGCCTAGGTCTTGGTTAAGGCGCTTCGCCTAACGTGTGTACGGAGTTACACTGGCCGGGAAATAAGAAACCGAACCATAAGTGAGTTTAGTACCTTCCCTAAAAGTAGCAAATCTAGCGAACACTTTCTGTTACGGTTAACTCTTTTTTACCCTATTTACGGCTAACGGTTAAAAGTTTTCAATTTTTACGGCTATCGGCTAAATTTTTGGCCGTTTTACGCCTATCGATTAACCCCATTGAGACCCTGGTATAGGCTATGAACTGGATACGCAAAACTTAAATTGATCATAATATGCACGGAAGAATTGTCCAGCAAGATACTTTAGGTATATATGCATGCTTTTCAAACTTCCCAAGTCCTTCAGTATATGCTCCCCACATGTAAATGATGACTTTTTAAAAATACAAATGAACTTTGACATACAGTGTAGCGAATAAAATGCATTCGGCGTAATTATAAAATTTTTTATAGTACGATCTCCTCACAGCGCGCAGTATCTCACTCACATACTAAGGAAAAACATGGATACAACTTGTGATTATTGCATGATAACTAGCTTGAGCGAATGCAGTAACACTTCGCTTGCTGTTCTCAGATTAACAACGTAGGCAAAATAGCCGGACCCGTTGGACCTCTGGGATTCAATGGAAGTCAAGGACCCGCGGGAGCCGCGGGACCTCCGGGGCCCAAAGAAGCTGGAAACTTCAGCACGTGTCGGTATAAAGTAAAGACAGAAGCTGGTGGAGGAGATAAATTGGCCAGTGTGGACGAGCACACTGTAAGTCACTACAAGTGTAAGGTGTAATACTTGTTTTCTTACTCTGTCAGGCAGCCCCGTTCAATTGCACCTTTGACTTAAAGAGGCTACAGTATGTCACGACGATATTCCTCGTATTTTATGTGTCGAAGTCATCACTTAAGACTTAAACAAATTTCACCAGGGGGCACTAACCATAATACTTTTTTGTTATTTTTGCATGCGACAGGGAACAGTTTCAATACCTAAATAAAATCTTAAATAGCAAAACTGGAAAATTTTTTTTTTGGAATTCAATTGATGCGTAAAAGGTTCTGGCTTTTTTAAATAGATAGCAAATAGAGCGATACAGCCTCTTCAAGCTTGCACAAGGCTAATTTAAATAGTTTGCATGCTTCTTATCGAGTTCGAGGACAGAAGATGATTATTGTTCTTATTAATTTTTATTCTTTCGTTTTACATTTGGTGAAAAAGTACAACTCCTTATTTTTTTCTCCCTTATATTTTAAAAGTTGCCTTCACTAGAAAAAGATGCGAGAGCGTCACACAGCTAAGGAGAAGCACAAAAAACTAACCCTCTATATTGTTTTGTTTCTCTTTCCAGGGCCATATTATAATAGCAGCAACCTGCTCTACAAACTACGCCGAAGATATTGAGTTTAGATCCGCCATTGTGGTCCAACCAAAACGGCGATATATATGCGACTGCAGGGGTGTCAAGAATAGTGGGAAAAACCCTAAGAAATGTTCCCTTCACTACTGGATATGCTTAAAAATGTAATAACGAACAAATCCACAGCATAAACAGTTTGAGGTAATTTTCAAGCGCAAAAGAAAAGACGCCTTGTCTTTCGAAAATGACATATCTGACGGTTTAAACGATTCCTTTCTAGAGTTTCGATAAACGGCTCTTATTTTAATAATTCCTTAATATCTGAAAAGTTCATCTTTATAAAGAAATTCAACATTGCATGGTTAATTGAAATCTTCTTTTATCTGGACACCTTTTGTTTAGAGGTTGGTAATTTATCGAAAAATTAGACGGTATAATAAGTTGCGCGCCTATCTAACTGTACAAAGGCGGTGTGAAAAAATGGTTAGAAGAAATACTGCACCGTTTCATATTGCGAAACTTGAGCGAAATCATATCAGTCATGTTTATCTGTTCCAGGCTATGTCGTGGTCAGTTACACATGTTAGGTCAGGAGAGCTAAAATCATAACGAAGCACTAATCTATTCTCAGATAATTTTTTAATTACTGGAAAAAAGAAAGATTTCGAATGATCCTATCAAAGAGGAAAAAAAGCAGATTTGATTTTTGGTCGCTCAACTTCCGTAAAACAGTCTTCTAACAGAACTTCGATGTTGACTGAAATTTGCAGCACTTACTGAAACGAACGATCGAATAAAAATTTCAGCAAAAATAAATCAAAGCGTATAACAAGACCATTGTAGAAAATTTTACTTCTCCAGACAAATAAATAGAAAAAAAATTCTTTCAACGTACGAGTTCGTAACTTTGATTTCAGCTATTCATATAACTATAATGGATTACAGCTTTTAAATTAACTTAAGACGAACATGGTCAAATAATCGATCAGTTCACAATTAACGACTGAAGAACGGTTAAACTAAAACAGGAATGTTCTTGACATAATACATATATTAATATGTATCAAGGTTGAATAAAAAAAAAAACATATTGTACACATGAGAGGTATTTTAAGAGATAATAAATTATTTTGTGACTTCCACGCACGGGCTTTTACCTTTAACAACGCTACGAGCTAGGGTTGAGGGCTACGGAGATCCTCCCATATATTTTTTTCGAATACCCGTCCGCATTAGGTTATCACTTTCACGGCGAACAAGCGGATATACCGAAAACGTTTCTTTTTCGTGAGAACAGGCTTAAGTCTCGTTTCTCCCTTTGAACTTTCTCAACTTTGCTCAAAGCTTTTCCTGATGGTAGTACTAGGTAGGTAAGTAAGAGCTGCGGGTAAATCATTTCTGATCGTGGTTACAACTTCTTAATGACGCATAAGGTGTCCCCTGGAAAACCTACAGCAATAATTACATTCCTTAGATCCCCCCCCCCCACCCCCCAAGATCACTCTGGATCTGGCACTGGTAAATAGGCAGGTCCGCCTGGAAGTGCAAAGGCATATTCACTTGGTATGTTTTTCGCCATGTGCCGCTAGCGTAGGCATATTACAACGAGCATAATTATCGATTCTCGTTACCAGCCTTTTATTTCAACCACAGTCAAATTTCCTTATCTTACAGTGTAACTGGGGACATGAAAGAAAAGACTCAAAACACATCTTATCTACCACGCCCAGAGGACAGATTCACAGATCT